GGAAGTGCCACTTGTGTTTTCCTCTGCCTCCATGGAGAATTTCAAACTTATGGGGCGTCTGACCAAGACTTTGTTTTTTGGTGTGCTTTCAGGCCCCAGCTTCTGACTCTTTGCTCCCCTTCAATCCCCTTCACCAAGGGTCAGTTCTGTTCTGGGTCAGTTTCCAATAGGATTTCGGGCACTAGCTCAGGTAAAGACCCTGAAATTTGTCTTCTCTTTGAAATAGTTATGTCTCAGCATAGGCTTTAGGATACCTGTTGCCCAAACCACTGTCAGATCTCTACATTTATAGGAAAAACTGTTTTCTCAGAGGGACTAAAACCATTCCAAATGAACACTTGGCAGCCTCCCAGGGGGAGGAGGCCCAAGAGTTGGTCTAAGAGGTGATTAATTTATAATAAAGGTCCACAGGGAATCAGACCTTTGGATTTGGCCTTCTCCCTGGTCCCTGTGAGTTTCATATTCTGAGACTCTGCCCAGTCCTTAAGATCTTCTTCCACAAAACTGCTTCATCTAAGAGGAGAATGAAGATGAAGAGTGCTCTGTGTTCATTTTGGTGGGATTTTAAACATTTGTTATCTGTATTATTTCTCTTCTGAAGGGACAGAGACCATGCTTGGTGATCATGTTGGGATCATGTGTCTCATTTCACTGAGTTACAGTCTTGTGAAGGTCAAAAGCTTAGCCAAACACTGTTTCAAAACTGCTGTAATTAAGATTCATTTAGAGAAGCTTAGATAAAAAATGCGTCTAAGAAAATTATCAAGAAGTGACTCAGCTGAACTATGTAAACCTTCTTTTTTAAAAGTAGCTGAGGTTCAGCAACCAAGAAAAAGAAACACATGTCTTTTGCAGCAACATGGATGGAGCTGGAAAAGATCATGCTTAGTGAAATAAGTCAGAAAGAAAAGGAAAAATACTGATGGTTTCGCTCATAGCAGGAATATAACGGAATAGACAAGAAAATAATGATAATGATGAACAACTATATACCAGAGACATTTTGTGGGGGTGGAGTGGGGAATGGGATCAAAAACAGCAGGGGGAGGGCAATGCACTGGACTATGGTGATGGCACATGGGTGATTTGGTGATGGGAAACCCAGGGAGATTGCAACTGAGATGGAAAAATGTACAAAAATATGTAAAAATAAACTAGTAAAAAAAAGTAGCTGAGGTTTCATAGGAAGTTCTATTTAAAAATAACTCTACTGTTCTTCCTAGCAAAACTATACTGTGAATACAGAGATAAAGAAGAAAAATTTGTGTTTTGGAAGCTCAGAAGTTGAGAGGTGGGATATTCGAATGAGATCATTAAAGTTTTATAAGCCACTCTGGGGCTAAGGGATTGATAAATTTTATATGGGCCCAAAATTGTTTTTTTAAAAGCAGGGAATTTTTTATAATTACATTATGTGCCCTGTTTGCTAATATCTTCTTATTCTCCTCTCTAGATTGGTGGCTTCCAAATTTGAGCATGCATCAGGATCACCTGGAGGACTTGTTAACTTAAATTGCCCTTGGAGGTTCTGATTCGGTCTGTCTGGGATGGGATCCAAAATTACATTGCTAACTAGTTCCCATGTGATATCAGTGCTGCTGATCTGGGACCTCTCTTCAAGGAACCAATGTTCTAGATCACTATAAACCTAAAGTAATCAGTGATTACACACTAAAATTACTGGGGGATCTTAAAAAATTTCCCCAAATGCTTGGTCATACCAGACATGCAGAGTCAGAATTAATCTCTCTCTCTGGTTCTAGGGGAGTCTTGGGTATAGAATATTTATAAAGCAATTCAGGTGATCCTGATATGCAGCCAAGACTGAATGCTTTGTTCTCCACAAAAACTACTCATGTACTGGCCTTCAAAGACCATGAGAGCAAAGCAGTTAGCAGCAAGGTGTTTGCTGCACTGCAGGTTCCTGTGCCCTCTGCCTGGACAGCCACAGGGTACAGGATGGCATCCTCCCTTGCCGGGAGTAGCACTTTCTGGAAAGAGTTTGAAGTTTGTGCTATCAGCGAGATTACAAAAGGCTGCTGGGAGTTTTCTTCTCCCTGATAACTGGGAGGGCAGCCCGAGTCAGGACAGGTTCACGTTGTTCTTTGTCATGATAGCCTAATCTGGGGGACAATGAATCATTTTATATTTTTAAAAGGCAGGGAAGAAAAATTCTTATTGTTTTCCCCAGTATTTTCTTATTTAAGCTCCATGCAACTAGAATGAGGCTAGTAGAATTTTCCACAGCCTTACAGATGCAGAAAGTGGGATGCAAAGGAGTTAAGTGAACTCAATCACAAGGCGGTGAAAGACTTGCAATTTGCTGGGTGTTTCACTCCAAAGACAAGGGCCTCTGCCACCTCACCGCTTTTGTAAGAGGCCTCTGGTGCCTGGAGACCATTGATGCCGTGCAGACTGGCCACATAATTTGTGGGTCCTAGTGCAAGATAAAACCATGGAGCATTTGTTAAAAAGTGTTTAAGAATCCAAGTGGGCAGCAGCAGGGCAATGAACCAAGGCCTGGTTATTACTGCACGGCCTCATGCCCATGAAGCCAGCGCTGGTGTTGTCTTAACCTGCACAAACTGCTATGGAACATTCTGCTTAAATAAGAAGATCTGCTCAGAGGCACCCTAGTAGGGAGTAGGAGCCCTAGATCGGAGAATAGAGTTACTGGATTGTAATAATAGCACAGTGAGTAGTATCCTATTATTCTTGTTGACATTGAGCCATTTTTTAACCTCTCAGGTTTAGCTCATTCATCTGTAAATTAAGAGGGTGAATTCGGGAAGTTTAGACCATCACAGTGTTTCTCAATCTGTGTATATGCCACATTTTAAAAAACCTAGCCCATATTTGGTATGGTGGCTGTGATCATGGACTCTAGACACAACCAACTGAGTTCTGGTTTTGACTCTGCTATATTTAACTCTGTGACCTCAGCCAAGTACCTCAGTTTCCTCATCTGTAAAATGGAGGTTGTTGTAAGGATTAAATAAGTTAATACAAGTAAACCTCTTGAAACACAGGTCGGTGATAAGTGCTAATTATTTCTGTGAAACACATGGCACCTATACTGGTACTAGTTTTGAATACCACCTCGCTTAGGATGGGCTTTTTCCTTTAACTTGACTCATGTTTAAGTTAAAACATCATAATCAGATCCATATGAGTATGTATCTTTTCCTAGTGCATGTGAAAATTTATAAGGATGCATTTTAAAAAGTTCATTCAAATACTCTCTAAAATCAGCCCACATATTACCAGACTGTAGGTAGCACTGAATTAACTGTTGGAGGCCCCTCCCAGCTTTAATGTTCTAGCAAAGAATGGATAAGTCTATGTGCATTTGGGCTTATACTTGCATTCATTGCACAAATATATGACACAAATATTTCTCCCCACTTTAGTCACTGCCACCCCTAGAAGAATCCTTCCATTGGTTAGCTACATGTTCTAGTATGAAAATGTTTAAACAGGGAAGAAGAGAGATCGTGAAGAAATCATACAAAGTTAAGGGGGTCCCCTCAAGAAATCCCCCTAAAGTCTAATGAGGAAGGAAACATTGAGTAGTGAAAAACTGAGAATAGACACTTATCGGGAGGCATAGCAGGGCATTGGAGAAGAGCATCTGCTGAAAGATTTATGCCCTTCCCTGAATATCACATTTTCCCCTTATTTCCCTCTATCTGAATATTTTCTTATAGGTCTGTTCAATTCTACTCCCTAAAATTCCTTTTCAGTTGTTCTGACTAGAAGCTTCTGTTTTCTTATTTGAAGTGTCTTTATAATCATTGAGCACATACTATACTCTAGGTACAGAAGATACAGTTTTGAACACCCTTATCTTTCTAGATACAGGAAGACTACTAATGAATGAGTCTCTGAACCACTTGACCCAGGCTGCTGATTCATGTGTATTTGTCTTGCCTGTGCTTATGGGAGAGACTATTTCTTTTATTACTTTCCTATTCTTCAAAGAACCTAAGGATCCTCCTTAACTACATACTGTTTACCAGAGACCCCAGCGCTATGAAGTTGTATAGGGAACATGAAAGTCCTAACTTAGAAAGATTCAAATTAGTCTGCACTCAGCCCTCTCAAGTTACCAAGAGCACCCATCTCCAGGCATCTCATAATCATGGGTGCTTGTCGGATATGATAAACTTGTAATGAATGGGAGCATACAGTAAAGTGGCCACAGAGAAAAATTAGAAATCTCAGGAAAGGTACAGGACTTTCTGAAGGCCATGGATTTGTGCTTAAAAAACAACTTTACACATATCCAAAGCTGCGGATGATGGAGGACCTAACTAAGTCTTATTATTAGCAAAGAAGAGAAAAATGAATGAGGATGCTGTAATGATGGTTACTTCTCAAAAGAATGACTGGAATACTGAAGGATGAAGAAAGACCTTGGGAAAACAAATGAGAAAGCCCTTGTATAGTTTACAAAAATCAGTATGAAGTGAGGGTTAAATGGTGCCATGATGAAATTGTGTCAGAAAAATTATGCCAACAAATCCACACTGAATTCAGACTTTGCTCATTTAAAAAAAGAGGGCATGATTGCCATTTCAATTGTAATTATTAAATATAAGATAAATATTTTAAAGTTATTTTTTTGTTTCACATTTTTAGTTTCCAAGATAGAATTCCAATCACTTTCCTGTCTTCACTTTCACTATTCTATTTTTGTCCCATTTTTAGTGTGACTTCATTTAAAGTGGACCTTCCAAGGTACTAATTATCCACAAGAAGTCCATCTATTATTATTCAATGCAGTGATGGATTGATCAGCATCATTCTTCAGAAACAAGGACCAAGACCATCAGAGGCAGAAAGGGCACAACTGGCTTTATTTGACGCTAATGCAGAAAGCAAGTGTTCATAGAACCAGCCAGAACAGAGCCACCTAGTCTAGCTAGGAGGTCGTTTTGGGATAAGCCTGCTCAAGACCTTATAAAGGAACTCTCAAGGCTCCAAAGGAAGTTGCTTACCCACAAAGCACCAGACTGCAAACCGGATCCATGTGATGGTGGAGAGCTTTAGCATGAGATAGATGTTCACCAGCATGGCAAAGGCAGGCACAAAGGGGAGGCAGGGGGCCATGTAGGGCAGCTTCTTGGGGTTCTCTGGCTGCTGCAGGATCACAAACACCAGGGCGCTGATCAGCAGCACCATCAGAACAACCAGAAGGATGGCCCACCAGCTCTGCTCTGAGATGTAGTCAGAACCAAATATGATGAAGGAGCAGAAGATGAACATGAGGATGAAGAGCAGGAGCACACAGATGGTCACCGTGTGCCCTGTTGCTGCTGTGGGCCGATCCATTTTTCCTGGAAGGCCCAACCGGATCCTCATGGTATAGTAACGGGGCCCAATCAGCTTCTTTAACTTGATGAGATAAATATTTTCAGATTCATCGGCTTCTATGCCTGTGGTCATGTCCACAGTGCCATAGTTAGGGTGGTTGACATTGTAGGTCGTCTTGTCTGACTTCCCTATCAGCATCTCGTTGTCTCCCAAGGATGGTAGGTTCTTGGCCCCGCATGTGTTGGTGGCTGGGCCAGAAAACTCTTCCCCTTCACTCACAGGAGAACACACGTCCTTCTCACACTCAGCCAGAATTCCCTCTTTCTTCTTTGTGTGCTCCTCAGACAAGAACTTGACAAAACCATCAATGTCACTCTCTGGTTGGTATCGAAGGAGGAGGACACAGACAGAGACCAAGGTGTAGGCCAGAAGTGTGCCGATGGACATCATCTCTATGAGGTCTCGCAGGCTGACTAGTAGCGAGAGGAGGGCTGCCAGGAAGCCTGACACGATGCAGGCCACCACTGGCGTCTCTGTGTAGGAGCTCACGTGAGCGAGGAACCTAGAGGGAGTTGCACGCAGAGGGTTAGTGGTGGGCTACAGAGGGTGTCTCCCTCAACATGGCTTTGTGCTTCCTCACTCTGCTCCACTGATTTACTTCTGGATTCCTGCTTTTAAAAACATCTATTATTCCTACCCCAGGATTGGATTCCCTAGAATATAATTTAAAATCAATTTACTTTAATTCCTTAGTTTGGAGGCACACTTTAGAAGTTTCTGCTTTACTATATAATAGGAAGGATTCATAGAATCTAAGAGGCTTGTCAGAAACCAAAACTGAAGGCAAGTCTTTACTGTGAGGAAGTGGAAGTTGGATAAATTATAAACTTAATTGGGGGTTCTTAGGCATATGTTAGCCAAAGTGTGGTCCGTGGATCATCAGTATAAACATGGAGCTTATTGGAAATTCATATTTTTAGATTCTACTGGAAACATTTGTATTACATTGGAGTATCTGGAGTAGCTGAGCAAACTATGCTTTTCAATACCTCTAGAGGATTCTGATTTATGTCAAAGCTTGAGAAGTACTGCACTACAACAAAAGTACAGGGATTTAGCTTGCAAAGTAGCATAATAATTAAGATAATGTGCTCACAGCTGCAGGCTTAATCTAGTCTATTTTCAAGAAGATCAACAGGACCATAGATAAGCCTACTTACAATAGCCAAATAACCGATTATCCCAAAACAGATGAGTGGATCAAGGAGATGTGTGTATATCCACAATGGAATACTACTCAGCGATTAAAAAGATGAACTCATATCATTTGCAACAACATAGATGGAACTGGAAGGGATTATGCTAAGCAGAAAAAAGTCAGAAGGAGAAAGACAAATAGTAACATATGGAATAGACAGAAAACAAACAAAGGGTCAGGAGAAAAAAACAGACAAAACTTGCAAGCTGACCATAGGTCTGAGGTATACAGCTGGGGATGGGGGTGGGGATGGGGGGTAAAGAGGCTAAAATAGAGGAGGGGAGAGCATAGGGAACTATGGTAATGGGTCATGGGGGCTGTGGTGTTGGGAGAATTAGGGCACTACACCTGAGTGTAGAAATCAAATATTGTTCCCAGCCTAACAAAGATGTCAGAAAATAAATACATTTATAAATAATTAAAAACAATAACATGAAAAACTCCCCAAACCAAGGGCATCGACTGGCAGGTGCTTTTTTTTTTTAACACTTCCTGTGGGTCTCATGTAGGTACCTGCTCCCCTGTCTCTCTCCTCCCTGCCCTTCCATTCTACCTTTATTTTCATGATTCACACAAGACTATAAACTGTGCTTGGATCCCCGACATCTTTCCTCTTAGTGTTCTTTGACAGTGGAAGAACATTTTGGATATGTGAAGTTGTCAAGCAACTTCTTGATCTGTCCAACTTTCCAAGCACAGCAGCTCTGGCCTGGTCATGCCTTCAGGGTATGCAGAGGAACTGGAGTAGAAGATGAGTCATGGAGGAGAGTCTCTGATCTGCGCTCCTCAGAGCAACCGAGCCTCTGTGGTACTCTTCTCCTTGTGCGCTTGGACATGGCCATCTTTGCCCACTTCACAGGGTGCGCCCTGGGACTCAAAAGATGGAGCATCCTCTCATGGGGACCAGAAGTGACACTAGGGGGGTGTGGTTAATAACTCTGACTCGAGTCTTATAATCCTACTTCAAACCCTGGCTTCCCATTTTGCTGGGGGCTTAGGGCCAAGTTTTTGCTACCATTTCTGACATTTCGTGTACTTATCTGCCAAGTAGAGTTGTAACGATGCCTCAGTGGAATACTGGGAAGCACCTCAGAAAAACAAACATCCCATAAACAGCTGTTGTACTAGTGGGTTCTCTTCAGAGGGTCTGATCCTCTTTTTGATCATAGCTTTGAATTATTGCAACTTTAGAGGAGCTGTGAGATGAGAGAGGGGGAGCTGCCAGACCTCAATGTGAGGCCAGAGCTAACATGGCCCTGGGCAGGGCTCTCTCTTCTGAAGGCCGCCAAGGCAGCCATTTGGCACCCACTGTCTTTACAAAGGAGCATGCAAAGTCAGACAGGAGATGGGGGCAGCTATGGGAACAACTACAGTCAAACTCAGGGACTGTTTCAGGCCTCAAAGCTGTCCACACCAACTGTCAGATACATAACAGTCTATGTAACAGGCTCAGATCAAAATTACAGTCAGGTTGTCAGCAGGTGACATTCCTCCTGGTTGGGTTAAGCAAAGCAGCACCAATTCCACTGAGCAGAGCCCTTACCTGAAAAGAAGCCCATCACCAGCCATGGCATAAATGACCCTCGGCATCGGGAAGAGTGAGCCCAGCAAGCTGACTGTCAGTCCCGCCACTGACCCAATGGCCACGACAAATTTTGCAGCATAGAACCCATGAGCCACAAACATCTCCATGAGCGGGGATTCCGTGTCAATGGCATAATAGGGGACCATCAGAGTTAAGATCATGCTCACCTGTCAAAAAAAGAGAAAACATGACTGGTGGTAGAGGGGACAGCCAGTGGGAATGGACATCCCAGGGGACGGAAAAGCATCCTGGACTGGCATCACGGGCTGGTGTGGCAGTTTGGATCTGCCACTTCCTGGCATGGGATTTTTTTTTTTTAGTCCAGGCATTCATACCAGTAGGGCTCTTGGTCTTGGTATTTTTTCCCTACATGTGAACTTAGTGCTTTGAGCCAGATCACCTCTGGGTCTCTGTGTGGCCTTTCACATGGGGGAATTCGTCAGCAGGACTGAGCCTGCGAGAGCAGAGCTACCCTGCCAGTCCAGTGGTGGGCAGTTACCTGGTGGGAGGAGCAGCAGACAAAGGCCCTGGCCAGTGCCTGGAAGTTGACATGAGCCTCCTGTTCACATGGGCAGACTCTTAATACTTAATACTTTTTTGTTTTTTAAAGATTTATTTATTTGTGCATACAGAACTGGGGTACAGGCCAGAGTTGCAAGGGCAACGAGAGGATTCACCAGAGACACAGTGGGGAGCAGACCAGGCAGATCATCGAAGTACACGGCTGAGGGGAGCAGCAGGCGGGTCAGGAGAGGTTTGCCGTGCCATGTGGGTCACCTCCAGGGCAGGGGGGCATCAAACGCATGTGGAAATGGCTTTAGCTTCTTAGTGCTGTGATTTAAACTGTTGCATCACCAGCGAGGGCTGCTCTCATTACTTTTACTTTCAGTCTCCTGCCAGGTCTGGTTTTACTTCCGATTGCCCCGAAGATCAGAGGAGCTCAGGCCCAGCACTTAGGCGGGCCAACAAATTATAGCATCAGTGTGGAATGAGTCCTACTGTAGGGCTGTAAGACCCGCTTAAGTTTGCTTAACTGGGAATCACTTGGAGGTCCCAGAGCCCACCTCCCTCCATACATGTTGATCTGCCGTTAACACCTCTTCCTTCAGAATCGGTTCTCAGCAATGGCATGGCCTGTCTTAGGCCATACCTGGGGCTGCCCCTCCATGCATCCTGCAGAGGCAAGCATCAAGGAGGGTGTTGAGACTGAAAAGGAGAGGGCCAGCATCTCTGGGCTGTTGGGAGGAGAGCAGAGTGTCCCCCAAAGCCCAGCCAAGGGGCTCTTCTCATGGTGGTGGGGTGGCAGCTACTGACTGGTGTTGCCTTCAGCAACACCATAGGCTGAAGGCCTATGGGTATTTCCCAGCAATATCATTACTGGAAACGATTTAGGGCAGGGTGTAATAGGGTGGGTGGAGGAGAGAGGGCTTGGTTCTTATAGCCATGTCTCTCTCCTGTCTCTGCTAGATAAGCATGGGCAAAATATTGACAGAAGTACTCTGTGGTCTATAAAGGGCTACTGTAAGGAAGGAGCTGTGATTATCAAACTTCATTGTGTGTGCTGCAAGGGAGGAGGGGTGAGAGGAGGAAAAAGGGGAGGGGAAATGCTGAGTGTCCTGCTGCCCCCCACACCACCACCCAGCCCCGATGCTCAGTCTGCAGACACCATCAGGGCAGGGGGAAGATGGAGAGACCTGCATGTGTGTGCCCAGGGGAGGTGACAATTGACCCCCTGCCAATGATCTGATGGAGCCGTCAGCCCTGTCTCCTCCAGGTAATGCACACTGCTGATGTGTCATCTCTCAGCTCCCACCACAGAATTTCTATTACAGAAGTAGTTCAGCCACATCCAGCTCCTGCCTCAGGCCCTGGCAATGAGGAGAACCAGCTGGCACTCCAAGTGCGTTCAGGTGGCAACTGAAGTTCTATAAACCACATCCAAGGCCACGCTTGTGTGTTACATTGGCTTCCAGAACAATCCTGTTTTGTAGTTTGCCTTAATAATCAGTATATGTGGCTTACTTAGGAAGAAGTCTTAGGCTAAAGACTCTTTTGAAGGAGGTTCCACACTTCTACTTGTTGAGTTCTTCTTAATTGTGGGCCCAGGACTTGTGGCTCTCTTTTGGAGTGCCAGCCATTTCTCCCCATTGCCAGGGGCTGAGGCGGGTGCAGAATTTCTGTGGTAGAAATTCTGGGGTGGGAGCTGAGAAATGACACATCAGAAGTGTGCATGGTAGGGAGAGGTTACCCCAAGGAGACAGGGCTGAAGGCTCCATTCTGAGAATGCCCCTTGGCAGGGAAACCCAAAAGGATGTGCTCGACCAGGGCAAAGAAAGGGAGCAAGAACAGAAATTCCATCTCTCCCCTCCCCCAGAGGTTGAAGGGAAAGCATGTTTCTAGAGAACGAGGTATTCTCTCCCCGCGCTGGGGGAGCCTCGCCTCTTTGCCGGGAAGCTCCCAGAAAACAGAAGAGCATTGAGCAGGCACAGAGTCCACAGTGCCTCTGCCCACACACCCACCCGTTACTGCCAGCCTGTGATCTGAGCTGTTGGATGGCAGCCCACTCCCTGGGCAACACCCTTGGGCAGCAGCAGACACCAGGCGCTGTGTGTGGCAGGACAGGGAAGGACACCCAGGGGCCATAGTTAAAGATTGGGCCTGCGGTGCGCACTCCAGCCTGGAGTCCTGATTTTCTTCTTTCGTCAGTGAGTGGGGACAAGGGGCACAGACACATGCACACCCTCACCAAGACAGTCCAAGGGAAGGACCACTTCCTGACAGAAGGAAGCCCAGTCAGAGAGGCACATTTCAAAGGTCAAATCTGAAAAGGCGGGGCTGGGGTTCCCACCAGCAGTGAGTACTTACAGAGACATATGCTGTCAGGCAGATGACCAGGGAGGCGGTGATAGCATAAGGGATGGAAGTGTTGGGGTTCTTGGCTTCCTCTCCGGTGGTGGCAATGATGTCAAAGCCAATGAAGGCATAGAAACATGTGGCTGCTCCTTGCAGCACCTGTGGGGAAGATGGCATCTGTCAGCCTCAGGATGTCAGGGCTTATGTGTGGCGCTCACATCCACCCAGTGCCCAGCAGACTTCACTTTGGGGCATCTTGGGGTTGTGGGGGGACAGGGTAGAAATAGTGCTGAGAACTGGAGTTTTTATTGTCTGGTGATGCTGGCAAGTGTCTTGTGTAAATGGAGAGCAGAACTGTACCCAAGTGTATTGCTCTTCAGCATATCCAAATCATTTTGGGAAGAAATTGGGATGATAAACCAATTAGGTTGGCTCTCCCTTGGTCTTGGGTACTCATTAACCTCTCTGTGCTTTGCTTTCATTCAATGGTTCTCAACTCCAACAAGGGGTTTTATGGCTATATGACTCTAGTCATATTTATGACTATCCCTGCAAATGCTTAGAAAAGTGAGCAGGTTCTTGTGACTGTCACAGAGACACAGGTAGAGACTGTTGGATTTTAGTGTGGGGACTCAGATGCTTCTGCAAAAATTAGATTTGCCATTAATATTCTGTTAGTGTCCCTGGTAGAATCTCTCTTGGTAGCTTCCAAATCTGAAATGATGTGAAAGACATTCATGTCTTCAGATACACTGTTCTCTCCCATGGGATGTCAGGGTAGAGTTACTTTGATTTTTCTGCTTCTTTGGGGGGGGGCTCAAGGGACCTAATTGGGCTATAAAACAGCAAAGATTTGAGGTGGAGGAACATGAGCTGGGTGGTGGGAGCCAGTGATATCTGGGTATCTGTTCGATAGCCCTTGCAGAGCTCCCAGGGGGCATAGGACTGGTGAAATCCAAGGGAAATCAAGACATCAGTAAACATCATGCTATCATGCATTGAGAAGTATGTTACTTTCTTCCTAACAATGGACTGAAGTTTAACTGGGTAGCATTTTCATGACCAGCTGAAAGTGAAAACTGTGCCCGTTTGAATGCTGGGGAGTGTCCCTTCAGGGGAAGATGAGAGATATTTCTGGAACTGTGTGCACGGGGTAAGAGTCTTGACAACATGCACGTTCTCCCTGTGGCCCAGGAGGGAGGCTGAGTGTCGACCAAGCCCTCAATAAGTAAAAGACAAAATATTAAGTATTGAAAACTGTAAGGTGCATCATAAAATTGAAGATCACAAACTTTGTTCACCTGTAAAGCAATTAGTTCTCCTCTATAGTATTTTTCATTAGGGTTCTAATATTTAAGTCCCCAACATGGAGTTCTTGTCTTAGGCTCCCATAAAATTCAGGGAAGTCTGCAAATTTCTGACGAGAAAAAAATTACATCTTTTATTAACCTCTGTTTGAATGTTAACATTGAGTTCAGCTGTGAATGTGGGTGACAAATCAACAGTAACTGTGACTTTGCTACCAATAGTGGTCAGGGTTTTTCCAGTCATGCCACAGTCATTGCAGAACTCTTGAAATTTGTGCTCATCGTTCCTTTCAAATTATGATCTTTATTAGGCAAATATATTAATATTTAAAGCATTCCTAAATACATTGTTGTCATAGCATAATGTAAACATCTTAAATATATCAATGTAATTGATTTCTTTTGAATTTTAATGTAGTTAAGTTATTCACTTATCATACGGTTCTCATAAAAGAGGTCCAGCATCTTCTTCAGACTGAAAAGGAGCCCATGGTACAAAAAAAAGAAAAATAAGTACAAATTTCTGGTCTATTCTAATAACCAAGTAGCAAGAAGTTCTCAAACAACAGTTGTCACCAGAAGCCCACATTCTGGGAGAAGAGATAACTCCTAATTTCACTCATCATATGTGAAGAATCACAGGTTTGGAAACACTAGTTGTCACTTGTTTAAAAAAGGCTTCTGCCCTTCAAGAGTGGATGCTAGAGTTCTGGCTAATAAAACTTCCCCAATCAAGGGCAAACTCACTGTAAGACAATGGTGCAGGGGACAGTTTCTGTTTTCTCCTTTTTTGGCACTTTCTTACACACACACACATGTGCACACAAATGCCCACACACATAGTCAATCATACAGTGAAGTAGTATGACAATCAGTTGGGTGATGCCTCATTGCAGTTAGGGTGACCAGGGTAATGGGGTCATGCTTACTTGGTGTGGCCAGTTCTGGATGGGAAGTCCAGAGATACCATAGGTGTTTATGGTTGAGGAAATGAAAGTAGGCATTTGGAGGTCTAACTGCATTAGGCAGGAGATAGAACTTAACCTGGATAGTTTAAATGAAACAATTTCAGAAAAGAGACTATGGGCACCAAGACCAGGAAGATGTGAGGAAGAAATATCTTTACTCCCTTGCTCTCTTCTCCCCTTCAAGTCTCTTGTAACATCTCCACTGGCTAAACCCAGTGGGAGGTCAACAGCAAGGCATCTTCTGGAACATAAAAAAGCACATGCATTGTGGAGAGTGGACCTGGGGAGTGGAGGCAAATGAGGAAATATGAGGTAATTATCAAGATCCAACAGATCTAAAAAACCAGAGGTTTGGGCCCTCCCTGGTAGCATGATGGGTTTAAGCACAGCTCTATGAAGCCTCCACAGCCACTGCAGCACAAGTTCCATCTGTAGCTAGGGAGCTGACCCACATGGTGTGGCAGACCTCCCTTGACCTGCCCACTGCTCCCCTTTGCAGTGTATCTCAGTACATCTGCCTGTTCTGCTCCCTACTCTGTCTCTGGTGAATCCTCTCACCCCTACCCACACCTCTGTCTTCCAGTTCTGTATGCATAAATAAATAAATCTTTTTTAGAAAAGTGAGAGGTTTACTAAATAGATTATCAAAGAGAAGATAATACAGTTATAAAATAAGGTTGCGTTTTCACTGGAGTTAGTTTGAATGGGTTTTTTACCTTGCATTCAAATGCTCCCTGACTGACAAAATACAAAGGTGTTGAGAAATGAAATTGTATGTCTCTCCTCAAGCAACCACTAGCACTGCTTCCCACTTCACTCTCTCCATCTCAGACATGGTCTCTGGAATTTATAACTAGGACACTTTCCACACAAGAGATGACATGTGTCCTATTTAGGGGTGAGTATCTAGGAATGAAATTGATGGGTGAAGTGAATGTGCAAATATATGTTTCTGGGTTTATTGATAATTTCCCTTAATATTTTACAGAAGTGAAAAACTGCTGACTTTAAAAATTTTTATAACATAAGCAAAATTTGTTCTCAAGGCTTACCTGGTGTAGCTTCTCAGCCAGGAAATCTAGAATGGTCTGTCCCTCTATCAGACTTCCTGCGGAAGCAGCGTGTGTCAGAACTGCTGACTAATTATTTGTCAGAAGCAATGTCATTTCTGGCCTGCTACTCAGTGTGTGGAGACCCTAAAGCTGCACTGCTGTGCCCTGTTCATTTTTAAAAAAGAGTTTTTTTTTAATTTGTTTTTTTGGTATAAGAACTGGGGTGTAGGCCAGAGGTGTGAGGGTAAGAGGGTTCACCAGAGACAGAGTGGGGAGAAGACAGGAAGATCTACTGAAATACACTGCTGAAAGCAACTGGGGAGCCAGGAGAGGTCTGCTGCACCATGTGGGTCACCTGCAGGGCTGGAGATCAAAGTCTTGGAGAGCTTCATAGTGCTGAGACTTTACCCTTTGGACCACGAGGAAGGCCATTCCCTGTTGATATCTGAGAGGCACTAGACAGCCCTCTGTAGTCCACCTAGGTCAGATGTCTAGGAGAAAACCAGGCACCTTTGTACAATTCACTCCCAAGGTAAGAAGACAAAACTAACTTAAATGGCATGTTCCACCACTTGCATGCTCCTGCTTGCTCTAACAGCAGCCTGTCCAAAGTGACCGTGGAATGTTCTGATAGGTTCCAATAAGTGGATTCCAATGTGGAGAATATGAAAAACAGCATCTCCTTTGGAGGCTGTCAGCATTCCCCACACATGCTTGTGATGGACCATTTTCCTGGGGGCTATTTGTGCTGGTAGAGTGTCTTATTTGGTTAAAGAAAAACCATAAGATAGCATCAAAAACAAATAACATACAGGGAATACACATCCAACAATGTTTGTGGACTGAGGCATTGCAGATGGAAGCAAGGGTTCAACTGTGGGCTAACAGTTACTTGATATAGGGAAAAATGTTTGTTGTTCTTAAGTTCTTCAAAACCAAAGAAACGTTTGACCCAAAACCTGCAAGTGAGTAAACCATTCCTTTAGCTGTTTTCCTTGGAAGCAAGTGACTGGAGCAGGGAAAGAGTAAGCTGACGAGGGGCCCTTGGCCAAGGACACATAGCTTATTAACCCTTTCAAAGTACTTGAGAATGTTTCAGGTCATGTGATGGTACCTTATGAGCTATCTCTTCCATGATGGTTTCCTAATCCCACCAGAGTAGTGATTGAAGAATAAAGTAAATCAGAGCTCTGTATTAGTCCTCTTGTTGGGAGTAGAGGTCTGGTTTTCCCCTAGGGATTTAAGAAGTTCATGGACTGCCAAGTAGAGCGGCCACTCATTTATGCTGAGATTGTTGGCTAATAGAGCAGGGAGCATGTTTACTAATTTGGTGGATAACACACTCATGAGAGGGTGTCAGACCTTAAAAAATAGAATCTATATTCCACATAACCTTGCTGAACAGGAAAAGTAACCTGAACTTAAGCTGAGAAAGAACAGGTCCGGGCCAGTTTGTTAGGGAGGAAATGTACTGCCCAGAAACCCAAGGCCAAGCAGATATCAAAGAGGATGAGTCAGCAACATCTTTACACTGGACTGTTTTTTGTGCTCAGATGATGTTTTTAGTCACAGTTACTAGGGCACACTTCAGAACTTTTTGCAGGGATAATGGATTTGCAGCAAAATATCCAAAATCTCAGTCAAGTTTTTTGGTAGTCAACGACAGGCCTACTCAAGATAGTAGGTTTGGTTTGCGGTAGGTCAGCCAAAGGTGCATAAAAGAGAATTGGCGCTTTGCCTCCGAACCTAGGGAGTCGTGGAGTAATCATGAACTTTTAGTTTGGCAGAACTGGGGTTAAATTTGAACTCTATTATGATCTAGAACTTCATGTTTCTAGATTTTAGTTATTATTATTTTTTTAAAGATTTATTTATTCATTTATACAGAACTGGGGTACAGGCCAGAGATGCGGAGGGTGAGAGGATTCACCAGAGACAGAGTGGGGAGCAGAACAGGCAGATCTACGAAGTACACTGCTGAGGGGAGCAGCGGGCGGGTCAGGAGAGGTCTGCCACACCATGTGGATCTCCTCTGGGGCAGGCAGGCGGGGATCGAACTCATGCGGAAGTGGCTTAAGCCTCTCAGTGCTGTGCTTTAACCCGCTGCGCCACCAGGGAGGGCCCGATTTTAGTTATTTTGATGCTAAAGTAATTACACTAATTTTTCAGGGCTCCTGTGAAGATTAAATGAAAAGTATATATGAAAGTGTTTGTCAAAATTAAATGTTAGGGAAGTGGGGCCTCCCTGGTGGCTTAGGGCTTAAGTCTCAGTGCTATCACTGCTATGGTATGAGTTGGATCCCCAGCCAGGGAGCTGACCCACATGGCACAGCAGACCTCTCCTGTTTCACCCGCTGCTCTTCTCAGCAGTGTACTTCAGTCAATCTGTCTAGCAGTGTACTTCAATCAATCTGTCTGTTCTGCTCCCCACTCTGTCTCTGGTGTATCCTCTTACCCCTGCATCTCTAGCCTATACCCAGAGGCCTATTTTGCATACCAGTTCTTCTATGCAAATATAAGTAAAATTTTTTAAAAAGTTAGAAAGGTCATCTGTCATTTCTTCTTTATACCTAACTTAAGTCTTCTTTTCTTATAAAAAGTCTATGTGAAGGCCCTCCCCGGTGGCGCAGCGGGTTAAAGCACAGCACTGAGAATCTAAAAGCCACTTCCTCATGAGTTCGATTCCCGCCTGCCCCGGAGGTGACCACATGGCGTGGCAGACATCTCCTGACCCGCCCGCTGCTCCCCTCAGCAGTGTACTTTGTCGATCTGCCTGTTCTGCTCCCTACTCTGTCTCTGGTGAATCCTCTCACCCTCCACATCTCTGGCCTGTACCCCAGTTCTATATGAATAAATAAATAAATCTTAAAAAAAAAAAGTCTATGTGAAAATGGGGAGTCCCTAACATTGGACTGATGAGATGTGCAGCTGACTGAAAAAGGATGTGAGCCACTAAGCAGAAGGAAGAGATCCCCAACATGACCAAAGACCCAGAACAAAGCAAGAGGAAGTACTCCTTCATCGTCTTCAGCATGGATGGTCAAAGTGTGCTTGTAGCAAAGCTATTAGCCCTTTTCAGTCTTTACATGGGGCCTAATAGTGTGTGCCATTTAAGTGAGCTATTGAGAGAATTTTGAAAATTCAGCATGAATCAAATAATTAAGAAACATTTTTGAATCACTTAACATGTAATCCACAAGGTAACTTCAGCCTGGGCTGTTCTAACTGCATTCCCATCTGAGGCCAGAAAAGAGACCATGTCTTAGTTCTCCTCCTAGTTCAATATTCCATGACTATGAGAGCATAAGGAAATGAAGATGCATCATGTGATATTAATTGCTTTATTTTTTTTTTTTTTAAAGAAGTCTCAGAAGGGGCCCTCCCTGGTGGCGCAGCAGGTTAAAGCACAGCACTAAGAAGCTAAAGCCACTTCCGCGTGAGTTCGATCCCTGCCTGCCCCGGAGGTGACCACATGGTGTGGCAGACCTCTCCTGACCCGCCGGCTGCTCCCCTCAGCAGTGTACTTCATTGATCTGCCTGTTCTGCTCCCTGCTCTGTCTCTGGTGAATCCTCTCACCCTCCGCATCTCTGGCTTGTATCCCAGTTCTGTACGAATAAATGAATAAATCTTTAAAAAAAAGAAAAAAGAAGGCTCAGAAGGGAGGCATCCTACACAGCTACTTGACATAGTGGAAAGAACCTGGAGTTATCAAGACATGGGCAGGAACTGGAGCCCAGGCAGACTACCTAAGTGACTTCCGTGATTAACTCAGCCTCTCTGAGCTGTGGAGTCTCCATCTGTCAGTTAAGGATGACAGCACCTGCTTTATTAAAGTTTGTTAGAAGAAGGAAATGATATTCACAGAGCACAGTGCATCTAAGAGGCAGGGGACACATTCTCGCTCTTTCCTCCTGTAATTATCACTGCTGCTAACTGTACAAAAACACCCACAATTTTATTCTTTATTTTTTGCAGACATTTGATACAATTCTTTTTCTTCCCACTTGCCAATGAGAAAACCTGAAGAAGTTAGCACAGAAGTTAGTTGTTGGCCAAAGTCTTAAAGTTAGTCACAACCCGGTGATTTCTTAGATTGTCAAGGAAATGGTAAGAACACCCTCATTGTGCTATGATGAAGATGCGGCTGAGTTCCAGAAAAACAATCTTTCTTTGTCACTTTTGTAATTTGTTGTTGCTTTTATTTGATAGGAAAGACATGATTTGTATCATAAAATAGACTTGAGGATTCAGTAAGGGGTCAACAGTGTTTCTTTGTCTCTTCGTCTGGTTTTAGCCAGTTTTAGGATTGATTCACAGAAGAGGGATGAACTCTGTAGATCTTGGGAATTCTTACAGATAAGCAGAAGACTAGAAATCCTGGTTTGTAGCACTCCCCTGCTGTTTCTCTGCACTGAACAGAGTGGCATGCTTCAGAATAAACAGAAGTTATTTTGAGTGTTCTCCAAGAGGGAATTCTGGTTTCTGGTCATCTTGGAGAAAAACTAGTCGAAACAAAAGCTTCCAAAGCAGCACTGGTGGAACCACGGTCTTTCTTCTGCCACCAACCTTAGCAGGTCTTTCTCCCTCAGGCTCAAGTTCACATGACAGGATAGGACAACTGCCCGCTAAGATCCCTTCTATCGCAAAGGCTCTGATTTATGTTCTACTATTTAAAAAGTGGTTGGATGGGTGAATTTTACTAATAAATCCATAATGCAGGAATGTTATCTACTCTGGGGAAAGAACCCAGGTGCCACTTAATACTGCCTGTCAGTGTGAAAAATTTGACACTTTGACCAGCCCATTTTTCTTTGGTGTAACCCAGATCATGGGGGTGAGAACTGAAGATGGCCTTTTAGTCCTTCCCACACTCTTGACAAACCCCAGAATGTACTAGGTTGGCTTCTCTGCCATAAATCATGCCTCTGGAATGAGATTTATAGCCCCAAACCCACCAGAGCTGCTTAAACACCCTCAGAAGCCAGCAGGGCTCACTGTCTTAGGTCAGTTGTTGGGGCTTTATTTAGGAACTACCCCTTCCTAATATTACTCAGCAATCAAAAAAGACAAACTCATGTCATTTGCAGCAATATGAATGGAGCTGGAAAGGATTATATTCAGTGAAATAAGTCAGAAGAAAAAAGATAAATAACAGCTGGTCTCACTTATATGTGGGATATAGAGAAACCAAACAAAAAGTCAAGAAAAAACCAAAACTGGCAAAATTGGTAAGTTGACCACAGTGTCTGAGGCAGACAGCAAAGAAGGGCGATGGAGAGGAGGCAAAACAAGAGAGGGGTGAACATAAGGGCATATGGTGATGGTTGATGGGTGACATGGCAGTGGGAGAACTATGGGAATGGCAACCCCATAAGAAAAAGATGTTAATCTATCTTAAAAAATTCAAAATAAGTTGTCATTTCCTAGTTCTAAATCTAGGTGACACTCATCCCTTCCCTGGTGGCACAGCGGGTTGAAGCACAGCACTATGAAGCTGTCAGCAGCCGCTGCAGCATGAGTTTGATCCCTGGCCAGGGAGGTGACCCACATGGTGCAACAGACCTCTCCTGTCTCACCTGCTATTTCCCTCAGCAGTGTATTTTGGTCAACCCACCTGTTCTGCGACTCACTCTCTCTGGTGAACCCCCCTGCACCTCTCGCCTATACCCCAGCTCTTGTATGCATAAATTAATAAATCTGTAAAATAGAGCATCCCTTCCCTGAAAGTTCACTCTCCCTGGCCTCCTTTGCTCCGTCTGTTTATGTATAGTCTGTCTCTCTGAATAGTCTGCATGAATAGATTCTATAGAATGGAACGCTTCTGTGCAGGCTTTAGAACCAGGTAGTTCTGGCTTTGGGTTCCGACTCTGCCACTTACATCATGTACTAAGTAACAAGTCAATGGGCCTCTCTAAAGGTGAGTTTCTTCATCTGTAAGACCAGAATATAAATATCTTCCTTGCAATGTTATTGGGAAGATGGAATGGTATATCCCATTCAAAGCACTTAGCACAATATTAGGTATATTGCAATTGATCAAGACATGGAACCTATTATTGTTATTCATTAAAATACAATCTCAATAGATGTTTGTGAGACAAGAAAAGAATACTTTTTTCCAATTAAGTTCAGATAAAAGGTGATGAAGAGGGTGCCATAAAGAATATGAGATTCAAAAGCATTCCTTGGGCTGGTCACATGGAGGCACCAGGCTTTAGGAATGAACTCACCCCTGACCAGCCATGGGGCAAGAACTGGCCTTCCGCCCAGTATTTCCCATTGATGAAGAAGAGGCCTGCGATCATGATGAACACCCACACTGCCAGATTCAGCACATTGAGGACGTTGTTGAGGCCCACGGAATTCTTGACCCCCAGAGCAACGATGATGGTGACAATGACAGCGATCACCAGAGCCAGAAGGTCAGGGTAGGACTCTTCACCTTTCCCTACAGGGGAGAAACATGAATTAGTACTGTCCAGAGATGAGGGGAAGTGTCACACCAACTTGTAGCCTCCTCCACATCATCCATGCTCAACGAATGGAAGAGTGGTCAGTGGGTCAAGGAGGAAGGTGAAGGCACTGTGTGTGCACGTGGGTGCTGACAGTGAGGCCACCCTGCAGATACAGGTCTCTACTGGCAGAGGGACAGGCTTTGGTTGACAAGATGACCTGTTATCCTGAACCCAAAATTGGGCAATAATGCTCACAGACTCGAGGCACAGAACATTCGAAGTGAAGACAGTCTTGGGACATTGGAATGTACATAGAGTCTCGCATGTTACTTAGAAACTTCTTTATTAACTTTATTTTTACTGCTCATTTTGTAATCCACACATTTCCCTTTTAATTCCAGTAATCTTTTTATTATTAGAAAACATAAAAATGTGCTTCTTCAAAAGTTATTATAAGAATGGGATTCTTTCCATTTATGTCTGTGTGGTTACGGAGGAAATGAGTGGGGAGCATGCCCAGCCTGGTTGGTCTTGTCTGTTGGCCAGGGGACTCCTGCCCTCTATAGAGTGGAAAAGGCACTGCTTTGAAGCCAGTCTCCTGAATTTTACTTGGGCATTTTCTCCTAACCACCCGACTGGCCTTGGATTTCAGCTGTCAAGTTGAACAGTTAGACCAACTGATTTTGAAAGACTGGCGAACTAAAATTCCATGCACTCAGGACATGGAGCAGATGTAGTCTCCATAATTTTAAAAAAGATTTATTTTATTTATTTATGCATACAAGTACAAGGGTGTAGGCAGGGGGTGAGAGGATTCACCAGAGACAGAGTGGGGAGCAGAACAGACAGATTAACAAAATACACTGCTGAGGGGAGCAGCAGGTGAGACATGAGAGGTCTGCTGCATCATGTGGGTCAGCTCCCTGGCCGGGGATAAACTCATGCTGCAGTGGTGAGGGTGCTTCATAATGCTGCACTTCAACCAGTTGTGTCACCAGGGAGGGCCCAGTCTCCATACATTTTATCTTAGCAGGACATCTGGGTGCTTAGTATCTTTGCCAGTTTTTGTGGGGTGGAGAATACAAAGTCAAATGATTTGTACATGGCCACAGAATCAGCCTCTGAGATTCTGGAGCTAGGTCCCAAGGTCCCCTCAACTATTGTCTGACTTTCTACAAATGCAGACGGATAATCAGATACCAGGATGGGAAGTGGGCAGCAAGTGATGGAGTCTTACGTCTTAAAATATTTGTCATGTGAGCATCTGATTACTTAGCATTCAGTTATAGTAGTCCTCTTTGATCTCTGCTAAACTGGAATCTATTTTGCTTCTTTATAAACATTTTCTTATTTAAAAATTCATGTTTTTTATGAAAATTAAAACAAATCTTCTGATGATATCACTTGAGAAGTTTCTTACAATTCCTTTTCCTGCATTGGTCATATTTATATAGTTATTGACAGGACACATATACAGTTTCTATCTTTTGTCAGGTGATATGACATCAAAAGCATATTTCATGTTATTACAAATAATAATACTTTTAATTGCTAGGCTTTTAATAGTCTTGCATAATATATCTGTTCCATTGTAGAATATTAAAGTTGTTTTTCATTTTTTGTTATTATAGATATGGCTGTGATGAACACATTTTTGTGTAAAATTTTTATGGAAATTAGACTGAATTCCCTTAATAGATAGGTTCACAGTGGAAGGATTAATTTACCAAAAAAAGAGCTATTATGAAAGTTGTTGATACAGTCTGTCAAATTGCATTCTGAAAGGGGAACATATTATGTAGGCTTAGAAAAATTGCAGGTTGGGGTAAGAGGATGTGACAGGTCTCACCCAGGCCATTGAGGGTCCCCACGCTGTTCACCATCCAGCGGCTGATGGTATGGTTGGCCAGGGAGTCAAACATGCTGCTGAGAGCACTGGCGCCCGCTGCAGTGCCAATCAGGTACTCCAGGATCAGGTTCCAGCCGATGAAAAATGCCACAAATTCCCCAACAGTGACATAGCTGTAGGTGTAGGCTGACCCCGTGGTCTTGGGGACCCGAACTCCAAACTCTGCATAGCAGACACCTGCATGGATGGGCAAACACACAGATGGTGGACTTCAGGAGATGTGTTAACCATCTGGGGCAGAAAATATTGGAATTGCCAGAAACTTAGAAGAAATACACAGAGTTTTATGGACATAAGGCAACTTCTGACTTCCTAACATCCTTCCTTTACATAACACATATACTTTTATTTTTTTTTATTAAGATTTATTTATTTATTCATACAGAACTGGGGTACAGGCCAGAGGCTCAGGGGTGGTGAGAGGCTTCACCAGAGACAGAGTGGGGAGCAGAACAGGCAGACCGACGAAGTACACTGCTGAGGGGAGCAGCGGGCGGGCCAGGAGAGGTCTGGCTCGCCATGTGGTCTCCTCCGGGGCAGGCGGCAGGCGGGAATCGAACTCATTCGGAAGTGGCTTCAGATTCTCAGTGCTGTGCTTTAACCCGCTGCGCCACCAGGGAGGGCCAACACATATACTTTTAAAAATAACATACTAGTTTAGTTTTACATCATTATATGCCTTTTCCCATCTCAGTTGTAATCCCCATCACCATAGTCCAGGGCACTTCCTCTCTCTCCCTCTGCCGTTTTTGATCACATTCCCCACTCCATCCCCATAAAATGTCTCTGGTATATGGCTGTTCATTATAATTATTATTGTTTTCTCCCCTGGTCCTTTATACTCCTGCTATGAGTGAAACCATCTGGTATTTTTCCTTTTCTTTCTGGCTTATTTCATTAAGCACGATCTTTTCCAGCTCCATCCATGTTGCTGCAAAAGGCATGTGCTTATTTTTTTTGGTTGCTGAGTAATATTCCATTGTGTATATGTACCACATCTTTTTAATCCAGGATATGACACATATTTTTAAGTGCCTACTCAATGGACACCATTGAATACTAGACACACTAAGGTTAAGTGAGGCAGATTTCCTGATTGCAAAGCATCTATTTTGCAATCAGAAAAGAGTTGAAATTATCCCACATGACCAGTTTTAATACTACAGAGTATGGGCCCTCCCTGGTGGCCCAATGGGTTAGGACACAGCATTGAAAAGCTAGCTGCAGCTGGTTTGGTGTGAGTTTGATCCCCGCCCAGGGAAGTGACCCACATGGTCCTGCAGACCTCTCCTGACCCGCCGGCCACTCCCCTCAGCAGTGTACTTCTTTGATCTGCCTGTTCTGCTCCCCACTCTGTCTCTGGTGAATTATTTCACCACTCCTGCACCTCTGGCCTGTACCCCAGTTCTGCATGCATAAATAAATAAATCTTAAAAAAATAGTACAAAGTATGAAGTGTTATTGGAGTTCTCTGGGGTGAGTACCATTCTTCAGTTGTGGGCAGCAGGGAGGAAAGAGGGACCTTTTTGTTTGCATCTTGGACAGTGAGCTGGGTTTTGCTAGAAAGAGAAAAGTGGGGAAAAGATGGTGTCAGGCAGCTCAAGAGGCATAGATGGAATAATACTTGCTGGTTTCTTTAGGGAATGAGGAAGATGAGTCTGCAGAACTGGAACATACTAAAGTGATCAAGGGAGCAGGGCCTTTTTAATAGGTTGGAGGAATCTAGCTGACAAGGACTGTGCAGTTGATCTATTTTAGCATTTTTTAAAAAGATTTATTTATTTATGCATATTAGCTAGAGGTGAGGGGAGTGAGAGGATTCACTAGAGACAGAGTGGGGAGCAGAACAGGCAGACTGACTGAAATACACTGCTGAGGGGAGCAGTGGGTGAGACAGGAGAGGTGTGCTCTGCTGTGTGGGTCATCTCCCTGGTGGGGGATTGTTACCTCTCTGGCCAGGGATCAAATTCACGTTGTAATGGCTGTGGATAGCTTCATAGTGCTGCATTTTAACCTGTTGCACCACCAGGGAGGGCCCTATTCTAGCATATTAAAGCGTTGTATTGGTTATAAGCCTTGTTTTGCGTACAGCGTCTTTCTTAAGAGCCCAGTCCATAAAGAAATTAAAACAGGTGACATGGTTTAAGATAGGTAGGAGATGTGAGGTAGGTCTACTTAGGGTCTGTGCTCCATCCCCCACCCTCCCCACAGTGCCCGACCCTCCTCTGGGCACCTCCAAAGCACAGCATAGGGACGAGCATCAACTGCTCATTAAGATTGTTCTCTAACATCATACACAATGCAGCTGAAACCAGACCTGGAATTATATATTTAATGACAACTGGGGCTAGAACCGAAGTCTCCGGATACTGCTCTCGGAGTTTTCTGTTTCACTCATTCATTTATTCAAAACATTTATAAGTGATGTTTCTATATTAGATTCTAGGGATGAAAAGATGAAGAGAGAGAACCTAATTCCTCCTCTTTGGGTCTTACAGTCTAGTGGAGAAGACAGGCTTGATAACCGGCAATATAATAAAGGAAGAAAGGATATATTGGTTGTGGGGGTTGAGTGGAAAATGTGTGAGATGCTTTAAAGGACTGCAGAATTGAATTTTGAAGTATACAGTCAGACAGTCAGAAGGAAGAGGGAAGAGCTAAAATCTGGAGTGGAGGGAATTGTGTAAGACAGTGATAGGCCACCTCTGCAGTCACATAGGTCTCTGGGGTCTGAACATCTTGAATGCAGCTCAGAGGGTCACAGTGTGGGTGATGGGCTGCCAGTAATGGACACTGGTCTTGATTAATTGTTTTGAACATACTGGGTTTTTGATCCTGCCTACTGGGGAGGTAGAAAGTTTGACGTTGTAATGGCTGTGGATAGCTTCATAGTGCTGCATTTTAACCTGTTGCACCACCAGGGAGGGCTGATCTGGAAGTGGATGAGGTCAGTGATTTGTCATCCATGAAGTTAGCTCCTCCCATTACCTGCCCCCTCCCAGACTCAGGATTCAGTTCAGCGTACCAATCCGGCCTAAACATGTCGTCCAGAAGGTCCTCACCAAAGACAGACAGCATTGTGCAGACATGCTTGTTACCCAGAATGTTTCACTTTCTTAGTTTTCTTAAGACATTTCTGTTTACATATACCTTCATGACAGGGTTAGATATGTTACACATTTGGCTGTGACTACTACTGCTGTCTATATACATGTAAGGGGTATAAAGAGAAATCTCAGGAACTTAGAGAGAAATAGAGTGTGAATTCTCTTGGAAACATTCCTCTGCAACGTTGGATCCCAGATGGTGGACAATGAAGTCTCCCCATCCTGCCATCTCCCTTCACAAGCTGGTTGCTGCATCCTGAGAAACATCTCTATTGTGTCCTCAGAGAGTCAGGAACCTGTGATCTCGCGCTGATGTTCTTTTCCTAATGTTCTTGGGTAGCCAAGAAAATTGTGGGTTTGTTTTCCAGGGTGTAATCTCCCTTCCTCTCACCTCCTTGCTACTGTCTCTTCACCTGAGAAGCCTTGGCCACTCCGTCACCTGTCAGCAAAGTCGAGGCAATTTTTACAAATGCGTCTGGAAGAAAAGCAATTTGTCTGGGAATGCCTACATTTCTTTGTGTCTTGGAAGAGACTTATAATTTTTCTGCCAAAGCAGCCTCCGGGGGACAGGAGGAGCCTGTGTTTAGGGACGGGCAGTGTCTTCAATCAGAGCGTGTGCCACACCATTAGTTACCTAGCCTGACAGGCCTCCAATTAGAGTGGGATAGGGAACAGAGCTCGCCAGCTCTCCACTGCAGCCCCGCTGTGTCCAGCTGAAACAGGAAAGAAAGAGGCTGTCCTCACATTCAGGGAAGTCACCCCTGAAACAGATGAAGGAAGTTCAATAATTTGCTGATTAAATGGGACCAGACTCTCTGCTGACTTTCCTTCCTAGATTTCTGTCTATAAAAGTATTGTGGAGGCTATGGAGGCCTGGCTTCCATAATGTGGTAATTCAAGTATTATATTGCTTGGTGGTGCTCTTGCTAATTGACATCATTAGTATACATTATGTGGCTTGATTACTTTACCAGATGATGAGGATGGTATTAATTATGATACTAATTATAATACTCATGTGGTTGCTTCTGATGAAAGAGCACAGATTCTGAGGAAAGACCACGAAGTGGACTCTTCCTTATGGTTAATTGTTCTCTGAGCCCATTTTTGGTTTCCTGTTGGTCTTTCTGTGTTGCTGAGGTCGCAGGAGCCTGGATGTGCCCTTTCCTTTGCTCCCAACACTGCTTCATAAGTGACCTCAGGTTAGCCAGAGGCCCAGAGAATTGGGTGGCTTGCTCAAGGCCACCTGTAGTGAAACTTGGGTTGCCATTTGTCATGCTCTTACTGTGTGTCAGGCCCTGGGCCAACTGATCTGTGTGCATTTTCCCACTTAATTGTATAATCATTTTCTGGAACTCTGGCCAGAGAGTTAGTAGAATCTAAGTTTTTATGTGTGTGTTTATAAGTTTGTGTGTGACACCCACTATGGGGGAGGGCTCTGGTGGTGGGAGAGCTATGGTGATCACATCCGAGGGGAGAAATCCTATACTGTCAAAATATTAACAAGGATGTAAAATAATGACACGTCACTTAAAAAAAAAAAAAAAAAAAGAGGCCCTTCCTGGTGGCGCAGCGGGTTAAAGCACAGCACTGAGAATCTAGAGCTGCTTCCGCATGAGTTTGATTCCTGCCTGCCCCGGAGGTGACCATATGGCGAGGCAGACCTCTCCTGACCCGCCCGCTGCTCCCCTCAGCAGTGTACTTCGTCGATCTGCCTGTTCTGCTCCCCACTCTGTCTCTGGTGAAGCCTCTCACCGCCCCTGAGCCTCTGGCCTGTACCCCAGTTCTGTATGCACAAATAAATAAATCTTTAAAAAAAAAAAAAAGAAATAGGAAAAATATTCCTTACACAATGATTTACTTTCTAACCTATTAATTAAATTTCCAGAGTCTCCGAGCAATAACATACTTTCCTAATACTTACTTCATTGGCTAAATTTCTATTTAAATTTCTATCTAATAATTATTTTTAAAAAAGATTTATTTATTTACGCATACAAGAATTAGGGTACAGGCTAGAGGTGTGTGTGTGTGGGGGAGGGAGAGGGAGTGTGAGAGGATTCACCAGAG